GTTGTGCTATCTATACACAAAACTTATTAAGTGGGTGATCGTGGCGCTCCAGATCTTTTTGTTTCTTGTTGCTCTAAATAACGTTTGTCTTTTTACCATCTCTCTTAGTCTGGTATTTGCGCAAGTTCATTAAGTAGGCGATAATGGCTCTCCACATCTTCCTGTCTGTAGTTGCTCTAAATAACTTTTGACTCTTTACCATCGCTTTTTATCCTTGTCTGTTTTCCATTCACGCGAACGCATCAAATAGGTGATCATAGCTCTCCACATCTTCCTATCTTTTGTTGATCTAAATAACTTTTGATAATTTGCTATCATTTTGGTCTTTGTTCTGCTATCCATTCACGCAAACTCATTAATTAGGTGATCATGGCTCTCCACATCTTCCTGTCTGCTTTCCATTCACGCAAACGCATCAAGTAGGTGATCATAGTTCTCCACATCTTCCTGTTTTTATTGCTCTAAGCAACTTCTGACTTTTTACTATCCCTCTTTGTATTTGTTCTGCAATGCATTCGCAAATTTCATTAAGTAGGTGATCATGGATCTCCACATCTTCCTGTCTTTAGTTGCTCTGAATAACTTTTTGACTCTTTACCATCCCTCTTTGTCAGTGTTCTGCTATCCATTCACACAATCTCGTTAAGCAGGTGATTATGGCTCTCCACAGCTTCCTGTCTTTTGTTTGTCTATATAACTTTTGATACTTTACCATACCTCTTTTTCCTTGTTCTGTTATCCATTCGCACATACTCATTAAGTAGATTACTTGCCATTTCCTCGTTCTTCTCCTGCCTTTAATATGCCTTGTGAGTATTAAATTATCTAAGCCCCTTTTCCTCATTATGCGTCCCAGGAATTTGAACTGCCTCTTTCTTTTGTTTAAATAATATTCGGAATAATATTAATGTTTCATTTCGGAACTCTGAAAAAACGAGAAAGGCTGGAACTCCTCGATCGAAAAGTAATGATCAAAACAATAACGATAAGGATATCAGTACGAGCAATTCATTGAATCATAAGCATAGAAATAACAAACATTACTGAAATTCAAATTAAAAGGATTAATTTCTGTCTGAATTTCTGAATGAGGAGTTATTTACATTGTTTGCACTTGGGCTATTGTTCTCGTCTTTCTTGTTATCACGTTTCAGCCAGTGTGCGCTCCGGCCTTCCTCAGGCTTGTGTCGATCCGGTAACCTCCAGGGAATTTCGAACTGAACCCTTTATTTAATTTATAGTGAATTTATCGAACTCGGGACAATGGATTAAAGCGTTGGTTGGAGAATTCGGTGACATAGTAATTGTGCGTTCAATCCCTGGACAGGGCAGTGTTTATTTGGACTCAGTCGAAACGGGGCGAGCCATAACTGAGCAGTATTAAAAATAAGAACTACACGGGATATCGCAAGACATGGCCAGCGGAACGAGAACAATCAACTTCTTCGTCGATTAAATATAGGAGTCAGATTGAAATTTTATATAGGTTACCCGGATCGAGATAAACCTGATGAAGCCTGGAGGACACACTGGCCAAAAAGTTGTGATAAAAGCAATAATGAGGAGGACAATAGTCTAAGTGTAGATAAAAGGATTGATTTTTTTAAATATTTTATTTCTGTTGCTGTTTCCTTTTCTTTTTTTAGTTGAATTTCTTCTTCTTCTTCTTCTTCTTCTTCTTCTCCTCACCCTCCTCCTCCTCCTTCTTCTTCTTCTTCTTCTTCTTCTTCTTCTTCTCCTCACCCTCCTTCTTCTTCTTCTTCTTCTTCTTCTTCTTCTTCTTCTTCTCCTCACCCTCCTTCTTCTTCTTCTTCTTCTCACCCTCCTCCTTCTTCTTCTTCTTCTTCTCCTCACCCTCCTCCTTCTTCTTCTTCTTCTTCTCACCCTCCTTCTTCTTCTTCTTCTTCTTCTTCTCAACCTCCTCCTTCTTCTTCTTCTTTACTACTACTACTATTTCTTCTTCTACTTATTCTCTTCTACTTCTTCTTCATCTGCTTCTTCTTCTTTACTACTACTACTATTTCTTCTTCTACTTATTCTCTTCTACTTCTTCTTCTTCTTCTTCTTCTTCTTCTTCTTCTTCTCCTCACCCTCCTTCTTCTTCTTCTCACCCTCCTCCTTCTTCTTCTTCTTCTTCTCCTCACCCTCCTCCTTCTTCTTCTTCTTCTTCTCACCCTCCTTCTTCTTCTTCTTCTTCTTCTTCTCCTCACCCTCCTCCTTCTTCTTCTTCTCACCCTCCTTCTTCTTCTTCTTCTTCTTCTTCTTCTCAACCTCCTCCTTCTTCTTCTTCTTCTTCTTTACTACTACTACTATTTCTTCTTCTACTTATTCTCTTCTACTTCTTCTTCATCTGCTTCTTCTATTATTATTTCTATTTCTTCTTCTACTTCTTCTCCCCTTTCTATTGCTTCTTTTTCTTCTCTTACTAATACTACTATTTCTTTTTCGTCCACTGCTACTACTACTACAACTATTCCTTCTACTTCTTCTCTTGTACTTC